AATAAAATAAAAGCCTTCAGCCTAGGACAATAGATTCATGGGACAACTTAGTCAATCGGCATAGTTCACAAAAATCGTGCTTTGCATCCTAATGGCATCTGGGGTCTTAAAAGCCTGTGAGCAGCCCTCTAAAACACAACTCTACCTGCTAGCAGCAAAACAGTAAGAAGGTAACCAAAAGAGTAGAGAAGATATGAAGACTACATGAGCCACAACTTCATCTACTCTGAGACCAAAAGAATTAGATGGTGCTTGGCTGTTAGCACAGACCATTCTGACCAGGGGGCACGATATTTCATTCCAGATAGAATGGGAAAAAATACAGAGCAGAACTCAAATACTTATTTAAAGAAAAAAAAAAAAAGAAAAAGAAAAAGTCACATAAACTGGAACAGCAGAGACTGAAAAACTCACAGAGACTGTCATCCTGAGACATTTCTAGAACTAAGCCTATCTGAGACCACCTTTTAGTGATACAGCAGAGTGGCACACAAAATAGGGGATATCACCTGTAAAATCTGTGCCCTACTTGAAAACTGTCAGTATGAGACCAAAAGGTTAACATTGCACAAAAGTATATATGAGAAGATAGGGGGCAGGGAAACTAGAGCACTGGAAAGGGAACAAATTGAACACAATTAAAGAGAATGTTGATACATTGCAATAAATTGTAAATAACGTCACCAGAACGATTTGTATGCAAATTGTCAAATGGGAAGCTAGCTTGCTGTGTAAACTTTCATCAAAAATTCAATAAAATATTATGTGTAAAAATAAATAACTAAAAGCCTTCATTAGGGGAAAAAGTGTTTAGTGAACTGACTTAAGAGTAACACTGTTCTGGTTACCTAGTGCTGCTCTGAAAAGAATATATCACAAATGGGATGAACTTATTCTCTCACAGTTTGGAGGCTTTAAGTCCAAGTTCAAAGTGCCAGGCTCTAGGTGCTGGGTGAAAGCCCCTCAATCTTGGAATCCAGCTCTGCCTCCTACTCCCAGTCCACTGGAGCTAGAGGCATTTCTTCACTCAGACAGCTGCTGGCGGCTGAGGCTGACAAACCCAAGGTTGACAAGGAAAAAGGCATAGTCTGATGTTACCAAACCACACGGCAGGCCATTAATTTAAGTCCATTGTAAGTTCCAAGGTCAGCAGAGCATGGCAGGCTGCTGAACACGGCTACATGCAGGGTCCATGCGTGCCATAAGCTAGAGACCATTTCCAAAGCTGTTTCTTATATACGGGAAGTAGACCATATACCCAAAGGCAGCTACTCAGTTGCTCCCAGTAGATTCCATCATGGAGGTGATTACCAGTCTCATCATGAGGAATACTTCATCCAGCTGCCCAGCCAAGTTGACACACAAACATAACCACCACAACCACATTTTAAGGTCTTTGGCAATCTGACATTTATCCAAGGGGAGAGAAAAAAAGAGCTTGGCCAGTATGAGCTTGTAATCACAAGACAAAGAACTGAAGAAAATAGAAGAAAGTAGTTAAATAAATTATAGATTTCTTAAAAATGTGATGGGTTGCCATCTGCAAGCATAAAGATCTTCTGTGTGTTTTTCTAAAAGAAAGCAATTAGCTTGAAAAGGAGAAAATACATGGAGATAGATACTGGCTGAACACTGGACATTTTTTTCAAAGAATAAGAGTTGTCTAACAAAAGACAGATAACAGAACCAAACCCTTCAAGTACTCAAGCAGAAGTCAGAGGACCACTGGATATTGTGCTCTCAATATGAGAATGGCCAAGATCTGTGGTTTTCTATTTTCCCTGTTTTACATTTGAACACTCACTTCAGTGAACAGGTTCCTACCTGAATAAAAGCAACATGTTCAAATTATCCTCCCTAAGAAGGCTATTTTAACGATCTGTTAATGCATTTGTGCTTATAGCTACCTTAAATACCTTCTGAAGTAGCAGAATATAAATATATAGTTAATAATTACTATGAAAATCCAACATCCCAACTACACTATGTACAACTGATAGTCAAAAATCACCAGCATAGGTGATTTTTAAAACTCCTTTTATGATCCATGACCACAGTATCGATAGTAATATGGGCAACAATACCTATTTTAATTGGTATCATTTAGAAGGACTAAAAAGGCTGGTTAATCACTGTTCTTCACTTTCTGTTTCTTCCATTCTTTCCTCTATCTTCTTTCTTATTTCCTCTGTCTTTTCCTTCTCTTTTCACTTCTTTTTTTTTTTTTTTTGCCTTCTTTTCTGCCTCTGATTAACTCTCCTTTCTTATTCTTTCTTTTCTTCTTGCTTGCTAATTTTTCACCTTTTTTGTCCTCTTTCAGGACTGCCTTTAGCTATCTTTTATTTTTCTCAATCTTAATTATAGAGAAATATAGTTTTCAATCATTCTTCCTCAAACCTACCAAAGCTACTTACTTCCATACAATAAATCTGATTTGACAGATCTACCAATCAGAGTATCAAAAGAAAATGAAGTACTTTATGTTGCTGTTAGGTACCACTGAGTTTCTCTGACTCCTATAGCAACCCTGTGTACAACAGAACAAAACACTGCCCAGTCCTGGATCAGCCTCACAATCCTTACTATGCTTGAGCCCAGCATTGCAGCCATGTGTCAACCCCCATTGTTGAAGGTTTTCACCTTGTTCACTGACCCTCTACTTTGCCAGGCACAATATCCTTCTCCAGGGAATGGTTTTTTCTGACAACATGATCAAAGTGGGTGAGATGAAGTCTGGCCATTCTTGCTTCCAAAGAGTATTCCAGCTGCACTTCTTCCAGGACAGATCTGTTCATTCTTCTGGCATTCCATGGTATTTTCAGTATTCTTTGCTGACAACACAATCCAAAGGCATCAACTCTTCTTTGGTCTTCCTTATTCATTGTCCAGCTTTAACATGCATGAGGCAACTGAAAAAACCATGGCTTGGGTTAGGCACACCTTAGTCTTCAAAGTGACATCTTTGCTTCTTAACACTTTAAAGAGATCTTTTGCAGCAGATCTGCCCAGTGCAATACAACGTCTGATTTCCTGACTGTTGCTTCCACGGATGTTGACGGTGGATCCAAGGAAAATGAAATCCCTGACTTCAATCTTTTCTCTGTTTATCATGATGTTGCTTATTGGTCCAGTTGTGAGGATCTTTTCATTTTATGTTAAGGTGTAATCCACACTAAACACTGTAGTCTGATCTTCATCAGTAAGTGCTTCAAGCCACCTTTACTTTCAGCAAGCAAGGTTGTGTCCTCTGCTTATCATAGGTTGTTAATGGTTCTTCTTCCAATCCTGTTGCCGCATTCTTCTTCATACAGACCAGCTTCTCAGATTATTTACTCAGTATACAGATTGAATAAGTACGGTGAAATGATACAACCCTGAATCAGACCTTTCCTGATTTTAAACTTCTTCTGTTTGATCGACAGCATCCTGGTCTATGTACAGGTTCCCCATGAGCATGAAATTTCTGGAATTCCCATTCTTTGGAATGTTATCCACAATTTGTTATGATCCACACAGTCAAGTGCCTTTGCACAGTCAATAAAACACAAGTAGACATATTTCTGGTATTCTTTGCTTTCAGCTAAGATCCATCTGACATCAGCAATGATATCCATCATTCCACATCTTCTGAATCCAGCTTGCATATCTGGAAGTCCCCTGTCAATATACTGCTGCAACTTTATAGTTGTGTTAAATAATAATAAATAATCTGGAAATACAGTCAATCTGAGACCAGTAACGTATTAACACAGATTTGCTATCATACCTCCTAACTTGACTATGTCTAACCTTAACTAAGATCATCCAAACTTAGGACAAAATGTAGTTCATGTTTATATGCTAATTATATAAGTGAATAACTTATCTCTTTAGCCAGTGAGCAAAGACAGAATTATTTGTACAGAAGAGAAATGTTAAACAGGACACAAGCAATCAAAATGTTGTCTTTGGACCAGCAGCATCAACATTAACTGAGAGATTATTAGAAATGCAGAATTGCCTATCCTGCATGAAACCTACAATCAGAATCTTCATTTTTAACAAAATTACCACATGATTCATATACACATTAAAGTTTAAAAAGCACCACTTCAAACCACAATTCTGATATAGTTGACATGGTTTATACGTGTGCCAAGATACAGGTCCTCTCTATCTTGAGGTACCAGATACAGGTTTGTGAAATGGAGATAATAGCCTCTATTTCACAGGGTTGGTCTCAGGATTACATGAGATAATACATGTAACATATACCTTGTTTGAGATGTGTAAATGCTTGACAAATGTTGCCCAATAATATTATTAACTGTTCATACCTTGTGTTTTCTCTTGCTTGTTTACGCTTTCATGAATGATTTACAATTATATAAGACATATGTTAGAAACACAGAAGAAAGTCAACTCCCTGTTTTAATTTTAAATTGAACTGTCTCTTCAAAAAGTACATGAGGGAAATGGAAAATTCTGAGTTACTAATGCTTCTTCCACTAGATTGTATACTTCTCAAGTGAAGAACATATTTCGTTTAGATGAATGCTTAATAAAAGCTGAGCCATAAAATCAATATTATATTAAAATAATTTTAATAAATCATGCTAAAATATCAGAAAAATAAACTTTTCATAATTCATGCATTTATTCAATAAAAAATTACAGGAGCAGATGAAAGTTAAATTAACATTCTTAATCATGCTTAGCCAAAAATATGCAATATGGATTTATCAAGGGAAAAATTCAAAACAATAAATTTTCAGTTATTTGGAATGAAAGAGGAAAGTTTACAAATAGTTATCCAAAACTACAAAACACACACACATATACATACACACACAAATCAAAGTTCTATCCAATTTACCTAGGATGTAATGAATAAACGAGGAGCTGTACTTAAAATAAGACTAAAGCATGTGGTGAAGGTTTAGTCAACATGTGACTGCCAGGAAGCTATTGTAAGATAGTACCATAATTCAAAATGGAGCTCACAAACCTCTTTGTCTATGGCAGTAGTGTGCAACTGGGCCTCTGCAAGCTCACAGTCAAGAGCTCTTTGTAGACTGTATATGACATGGTCATATGAATGGTGCTCATCATTGAAAAGAACACAATAGTATCTGTCACTTTTCTCTCTGTTTTAAAGAAAAAAAAAAGATATATATATATTCAGACACTGCAACAAATAAACAAAGGAAAATATGAAAAAGTAAAATAATATATGACATCTGTTTTATAGCAGCACCATGTTTTTTCCTACACGTGGGAAAGTACCATTGTAATAATGATACAGGAAATGATTTTAAGTGTTCCATTTAATTTAAATAATCCTGATAAAAATATTGGGAGCTCTGGTAGCATAGTGCCTAAGGCACTTGACTGCTAACCAGAAGGCTGGCGGTTCAAACCCACCAGCCACTCCTCAGAAGGAAGGCTGG